CCGTTTTCTTCCTTAACTTTGAATGCTACAAATTTTCTGCGAAAAGGGCTGCTGTGGCGCAAATATTTATTAGTTTCTTCGGTTCTCTTCTCTATATATGCCGAGTTCAAACCCCTCTCGCGGCAAAAATCTCCTCTTTATTCCTAACTTCTTTTGGGCGAGAAATTCACTCCGCTGTGCTTCGGTGCCAGTAACCGAAAAACGGGAAAAAACAAGGTGTTTTCGCGTGGTCGTGTCAGAGACATACGGCCGCACTCTCTGATGCATGCTTCTTCCGTCTGCAATTCGTTTTGATCTACTTGACAGCTCAAAAAAACATGATGTCTAAACGTAAATTTAAAGGATGTAATTATTAAATGAAATTTTCTTTTTTCAGTCACAATCCATGAAATATATGATTAGCGGTATAAACATAATCTCAGCTCGAACGTTCTTCCAAGGATTATAGAGTTGTCTCGATCAATTCATCAACTGAGTTTCACTGGAGCTAATAATCTCTCATTTCATTGCTATGAGGACACACGAATTACCACAGCATAACTTCCACATTTACTTTCAAGGTCTCTTGTGTTTCCATCCTCAATTTTTGATATTTCACTGCCTTTTCTTTCCACCTAGCGATGCCGTCAGCTGAAAATTCTGTGAATGATTTGTTCCCACTGTTTCGCTTTGTTTACCAACACGATGTCCTGACGATGAGTCAATATTTCTTTCTCAGTTCGTATTGGAAATGGCCGAGTCAAAATTTCACTGGCTCAGTTTTTTCCATCGCTTCTACTGGTTTTTCGCCATTGCTTTGTCACTGGTAAATCAGGTAAGTTAGCTCTTTTGCACAGCTGCGAACCGGCAGTGGATTATCCTTGCATGTTGTTGTGCCTTTCTTTATTACATTATCAAGTAACCATCTCCTCCTTCACTTGGCATGTTCTGTATTTTGCATCTGGCTGCGTACAGCATCCTCGTTTTGTACGAGTTCGTGTTCAGTGCTTGATCTTGGACGGGACGGCTATCAGAATCACTTCTGTTTCGCCATGGAGTCCATTTTTGGTAGCCAATTGAGATTCTGGTGAATATCCATATTTTTATTGAGTTGGCGAAGATACTGACCATGAAACTTCTTATTCTTCCAATCATTGTATAAGACGTTCTGTAGCTTTTATTGACGATTTTCTGCATTTTCAGCTGTTTGCCGTTGCAAGTTTGCATATGCCTCCGTTAACCTTTACAGTCGTCAGCGTCATATCATTAAGTTTTTTTTATCAATTGTAACCTTACGGATGACGCCCTTAATTTCATTATTTCTTTTATACTATAAAGCTCATTTTTTCGCCCGGTACATATAGTCTATCTGTATGTTCTTTAAGATGTATCATTCCGTACATGTTCAAGATCTTTGTAGCCCTTTCGCTTGAGTCCATTCGACGATACCACTTGTATAGCTCTTGTTAATATCGACAATTTATTAAAATATGTAAACAAAAATAATTTATCGTTTATGCAGCTTAATTCCGGGTCCCGTCACTAGTAGTAATAGCCGCCGATGACACCGTTTAAATAGAAATGCGACGTTGCCGTGTCGAATACGGTCGTAAACGGTCCCGCTGGCAAGTAAGAAAGAAACTCATGAAAAGCGACTTATGAAACAATGCGACTTTGTCGTGTCAATCCAAAACAGTGATAGGGGTTTGTTATTTTTACCGGCGATGTCGAAGACTGGCACTTTGCTTTTGTAGTGATAGTACGGGATGATGTTTACTTATGCAGCTACGTTGTTTTCACCTGTAGATGAGCGTAGAGCAAATGTTATTTCGGTGTCATGACGGAAGTTTTCAGGGTTAAGGTAGTTCACAGGTAAGTGAAGTAAACGACTCATGATAATTACGTTGTGATATGATGGGGCAAGTGAAAGAACGAAGATCAAGAATACGTAATTATAGCAGATCGAGAGATCGACTATGTTTTGCCATTCTGCCAAGCAGAGAAGTATCCGTGAATTATTGTGGTACTCATCAATTATCAGCAGTGCAGCGCCAAAATGATAATCTAGTTCACGTTATGGCCGCATATTCCAATATTCAGTTCACGCGGGGGTACGTTGTTTGGTGCGCATAATGAATCTTTGGATGAGGTTTGCGAGTCTGTAGAAATGGTCGAAACATCTGCTCGTCTGTCCCTCATTAAGAATATTAATGAGCGATTCCACTGTTTCTTAGAATGCTGCCAATGTTGTGTACGATAGTTCAGCAGTGTTTGATGAAGTATGGCTAGGCTTCCTTTTGAAGTTGATGAGTTTTCATCTACACGTGGCAACTATCGTTGTTTAAGACACTTCAAGCGATATCCTTCAATCGAGCGACCCGTATCCCTACCGAACGTTGTTAAATAATGAATAAAATTTTATTTAAAATCAAGCTCATGTGCTGTTTCCTATTTATAACAAATAATTTGAATATTTCAACTTTCAATTACTGTTTCTTTTTTAAGCATCGATGAAAACGGAGGAGGAAAATGAGACGAGTAGTGATGAAGAGGCAGACTCTTCCGAAAATGACATCATTTGTTCTTCAAGCTGGAAAAGCGCCTGGGCATCGAAAAGAAAACGGGAAAACGAATGTACGGCGCGAAGCCGTCAGCTGACCAAAGCTGCCCATGCAATTGGTGGATTGCGGGATCCGGAAAAAATTTACGGTATCAAAAACAGAGCCATACC